ATATTTTTTGACACTATTTGAAGGTAGGCTCTAATTTGATTGTTTAGAGCCTAGGCTCTATACAAACCACACTCTTTACAATCATATGCCCGTATTATTGGCAATACGACCACAATCACTTGCCATTAGATTTCACTCTGTCTGATTTGTGGTTTAATAGTTAAAGATGACCATAAATTCTTGTTGTATATGATCCTTAATATATTTAAACCAATAGGGCTTAAAGTAAAGTATTTTATCGCCAACAGTTTATGGGTATGGGTCTGATCCAGCTAGACCCGGAAACAAAGAGTGTTCAGGTCCAGGTTTTTAGATCTGGACCCATACCTGTACCTGAAAGTTGGGTCTACTTGTCGGGTCCATTGCCACCTCTAATTGAAAGGTTATTTGGATAGATACTAATGTTAAGTAGACCCTTTATAAGCAATTATTAAATATTTAGGGGGTCAAAATCATGTTGATCATAGGTGAGAGGTTCAAGTCCAAGAAAGACTTTGAACCTAACGTACAATTTTACCCCTTGTGTATTTTGGACCCGGGCTAAGCTCCAAGAAAATCTGGGAAATTTCAAAGATAAAAAAAAAAAAAAGAACTGTGACTCGGCTGATTTCATGGTTTTCTGGCCTTAGAATCCCCTAGCCTCCCAATCTTGTTCGACTAAGGCAAGTACTTTTTTTTTCTTCTTCAATATTTAGACATTGTTACTTAGACACCGACATTCTACATTGTTACAAGTGTCTAACCGTACTAAGAGTGTCTAGTATTTCATCTAAGAAAGCCATTGCGGCAAGATACATTTGTACACTTATAAATTAGAAATAAAATTATATAAAATGTTTTAACAACCACTCCTTGTGAAGAAAACCAATGATTGCACCTCGACAGGCAATTTTTTTGTTTTTAAATTAAAGCCAATAGATTTCATACTCCCGCATAGTATATTATCTATCTACACCCTTGGACAAAATTCATGTAAGGAGTATTTCTGAAAGGGAAAGTACAAAATGAGAACATTTACCTATATATAAAGAGGTCCATTAATCTTGAGCATTGGATGTGAATTTGGGTGGCTACAATTATTCCATTGATCAAGCTCAAACTTCAAAAGAAATTTTTTCGAACTTTATGGCACATCTAAGCTATCAAATTTCATATCAAATGGCTATAAATAATTATGACCACCTTGTATCAAAGGTACATAGACTCATTGTATACAATTCTTGAAAGGGAAATTAAAAAAGAATTAGCTCTCACCCTCGGAAAATTGCTCAAAATTTTGAAGGAAAAATTTTAGATGATTAAGGACTCAAAATTCAATTTTCTTCTTTAAAAATAATCATCCGGTGATATTTATATAAATCCCTAAATTTTGAATAAAAATATCCTCCCAATTAGCTATTTTTCCTTGGGAATTAACACTAGAGAATTTAAGGTAGTTGGGCAAAACAGGTTTTAGACGCTTGTGGCACTTGTTCATGTAGGGGTGGCAATGGGTTGGCTAGGGTCCGGTTGGACTCGGACCCAACTCAAAAGTCAAAATGTCTATGTGTTTAACTTTAAATATATTCTATACATTGGGACCCGAAAAATATTATTGGACTCAAACCCGAACTCCAATAGTGTTCAGGTCCAAGATTTGGACCCAGACCCGACCCGACCCATATGCGGACCTGAATCAAGTCTACGCCTCGTGTCCCAAGTCAGGTCCGGGTCGATCCCCACCCCTTAGCATGCAAGGTCAAGTTTGGGGGCTTGCCCTTACAATTTGTGCGAGGGGTAGGACAGCAATACTTCATGAAACAGTGGGTTTACATCTGGCTTGAGATTGATCAACAAAAGAATTGAGATTTGTCTACCCTTGTCTATTCTTTAGAAGGTAAGGGTCATTCACGTCATTTTGTTTTCAATATAATTCATAGAGTAATTTGGAAGCCTACCTTGAGTGCCCGCTAAGAATAAAAATGAATCATAACGTTGGGCACATACAAAAGAGAGGGAGAATTCATAGCCAAGCGCTCACTATTCCTTGTCTGAGATTTGCCGGAAAACATCAAATTGGTCCGAAATTTTTGCCGGAAAACATGTATAGAAGAATGTCTCCTTCAAAATTTGCCAAAAAAATGAATAGAATTTAGATGGTGAGAAAGAATTGGTGCATGTTTGGGCAGAAAACCTTATGAGATTTCTCAGCAAGTGAATGCTTTCTTCATAATCAAGAGTTTACATGCTTGCAGTTTGCAGGTGAGTATTCTTATTTGATCCAGAATTACTGGTTGATCGTTTCTTCTCAGCTTTCTTTTCTATGATTTGGAGTCTGATTTTGAATCATTGGTATTGAAAAAGGACTATCTGTCTTGGTTTTCTAGTATGGGTTTCTTATTTCCTGGTGTTTCTTGCCTCAAAAATGATTTTTAGTTTTGAATTTTTCCCCGAGGTCCAATCGTTTTTCTGAGATTATTTTGATAACAAAAATTAGAAAAAAAGTTGGGAAAATGTCTAAAAACTGGACGAATTGGAAACTTAGTTCGAAAACCATTTTAATGGATATAAATTGGGTCCCAGTCTTTGTTCATCTTTGTATTTTCAACTGAATTTTTGTCTGAAAACTCGTCTCGACGCCTATGAGTTGGCTTACATGACCTTTTTCATTAAACTATATACATCTAGAAGTTATTAAGTTTGGAATTTAAAGTGAAATCATGTTTTAAAGTGCAGTTGTTGAGCCGGAAACAAAAGAAAAATGGAGATGGAGTCGAGGATGGATGAGTATGAGATCACTGAGCAGATAGGAAGAGGAGCATTTGGAGCTGCTATCCTTGTTCTCCACAAAACAGAGAAAAAGAAGTATTTATCCTTCTTATCCTGTTTATGCAATTCTTTCCCTCAATGATTGTGGTCTAGACTTACATTCACTCAAATATGTTCATATTGCAATGTGAGCCACTGTAAAACAAGGAGAGTCGGTTGATTCCGGGTTTTACAGCCCGGGATCGCCAGCCTCGCCATCCGGTCCTACTCGGGCAAGTCCTTGGAAAGGCGATTTTTTGAAACGCCGGTCTAACACTCACATGGGGATTTTCCTATTCTTAACTTTTAGTCCTCTATGGAATCTTAGTGGTTATGGATAAAATATACAGATTATATCTGCCCACATGCTATATTTTGTTAATACACTAAACAAATGGGTACTTAGATTCTTAATTGATGTTTGTGGACTCTAACACTGATTCTTATTATTTTGTTAAAAAATAAGGTGGTGACTTTCTTATTATTTTTTACATTAGGTATGTATTGAAGAAGATTAGGCTGGCCAAGCAGAGTGAGAAAGGCAAACGATCAGCACTTCAAGAGGTATGAGTTTAAAAAGTCAGCTAAATTTGGGAATTGAAAATTCTAGAAAAAAATGTCGACTTAAAAGGAGCAAAACCGCGAGATAATGAAGTACAATAATATTGCTTTTTTTTCCTATGGGACCAGGTTATTAAGATGACGATAGGAGCAATTATACACTTCCACCTTGTACTATCAATTTGCCCTTTTCGAATTCTTCGACAAAAAAACCTTTGGTGTTTTAAATTACCTCCAATTTCAATTCAAAACTTCAACAAAAGTACATTTTACATTTTGTGTTTTAAAGTACATTTTGCGGCATAAATTCATCATCATCATCATTAGAGTTTTTTTCCAACTAATCGGGGTTGGCTACTCGAATCCTGATTCGCTATTATGCTAGGTCATACTTTTAGTAAGGCCATAAATCCCCATGTCTTTTCTCATTACTTCCAACCAAAATTTCAATTTCAATTTCAAATTTTCTCTCTATTAACATGCACATAATTGAAAACTTTTCTTAGCCAGCCAAACAATGTGAAGATTACACATATAAAACTTGAAGTACATGTGCAAATGATGAAATCCTCCATGCCAGACAATATGTTACAACTCGTAAAGCTTAAAATGCATATGGAAATAATTATATCCTCCGAGTCCAAATGAGGGTGTAAACCCAATTGGATGATAACGTGTAAATTGGAAGACACATGGCAACCTATGTTACGCAGTTGGTTCACATTTCTTGTCGATATTTCGACACCATCAGACACCAGGGACGAAAACGAAAGTATTTACAGCACTAGGGTGTGCCACTACACTTTTAAGTGTAATGAATATTAACTGTTTATTGTATATATATTAAAATTTTATTATGACTATGTGTGGCGCCGATCAAGTATAATACATGTTAGAAAGTATGAGTTAGTTCAAGTAGAAAGACTGAAAAGAACAAAGGTAGACCCAAAAAGACATAGTTGATAGTAGTCCGAAAAGATATGTTGACTTATGGTATCACTGAGAGTATGACCTCTAATAGAGTAAAATGACGGACTAGTATTCTTGTAGCCGACTCCAATTAATTGGAAAAAGACTATGATGATGATGATGATGACATTAAATTTATATTATCATGTTAACATGCCTACCTTGATCTCAATTTGAGGGCATATTTGGGTAGTATGCAACTACACGTGAAAAATTTTCTTCATGTGGTTAGATGTCGGAATATTTTCACATCAATTAAATGTCAATTAGTATGAAAAGATATACTGCGACCAATTGTTGCGAAAAATAAAAGTCACATATTAAAGGCCTAGTAGCCACCATGTCATGTGTATGTGTATCCCAATGCTAACAATCTAATCTATTTTTGTGTATTTGCATTTTCAGATGGATTTGATGTCTAGGATTAAGAATCCATACATCCTCAAGTATAAAGAAGCTTGGGTAGAAAAGGTAACCCCTCCCTTAATCTCGGGCAATGCACAATCATATTCCAACGGTTAAGATTTGTATGAGGAACATCGTTTACTAAAATCAGGACTGACCATAATGTTGACTAAAATGATTAAGTGAATGTAAATATTAATTGGATGGGTCGAGATCACAAAGTGTATGGCTGTTTTCAGGGTTATGTATGCATTGTCACAGGCTATTGTGAAGGTGGAGATATGTAAGCATTTACCTCCTGGTTCCCCTCTTTCTCTCTCTTTTATTTATATATATATATATATATATATATATATTAATCTATGGAAATTCATTATGCCAGAAGTTTTTATACTTCCACGGGAGTATAGTGTCCATTTACTCCCTCGCGTATTACCTAATATAGGGGTAGTTTTATGATTTAAAATTTGGGGATAACCTCTTCAACTCATAAACTAACCTTAAATTAAAAGAAAGTCTATATGAGGATGGGCCCCCTAAACAATCAAATTAAGGCACACCTAAAAAATTCACTAGAAGAGGTTGTTTCGATGCTGAAAAATCCTCAAGATGAATGGGCATAAGAAAAAATTGATTTCAAGTTTAGAAAATAGTAAATTTTGTAATGTATTTAGACTGACAATTTTCAAAATTTTTAAGTGTTCATAGATCTAATCAATCTAACCTGTTTTTTAATTTTTAAATTTTATAATTAGATATAAACATAAAACTTTCAGGCCATCACAATGAACAACATATTACTGCACTATTTATAGGTGTGTCTTACTTTGATTGATTAGGGCCTCAACGTTATACAAACCACATCTACAAAGACCACCCAAAATTTGAAGGGTGAGATCCAGGTGCCAAAAAAACATAATATTCGATTTTTATCTTTTGAAAACCATCATCCAGTGATTCTTAGGTGGTTTCCAAAATTTCAGATTGAAAAAATCTCTCTAAGTAGGTATTTTGAGTAAGGGAGTAGATGTGCTCCTACGAGAGCATAGTATAAACGCTCATTCATTATTATTATTCCATACATTTGTTTTGTACATGGATGATCAGGTCTGAGATGATTAAAAAGGCGAATGGGACATTCTTTTCGGAAGAAGTAAGAACATTTCTTTTTGCACCAGTCCCCCTCTATCTAACTTAGTTTTCTACCAAAAAAAATTGACCATATTCCCTAATCCATTCACTCATAGATATGCACAAGTGAACTTTGATTCAGTTTTATTGATTAATTTTATTTTTCTTTTGAGCAGAAGCTATGTAAATGGTTGACACAATTGCTTCTAGCTGTGGACTACCTGCACTCCATCCACATCCTTCATCGAGATCTCAAGGTAAGCTAAGCATTGTGCCCCCATATTTTCAAATGCACATGCATAAATTTAGGACTGATGTTTATTGTTCATTTGCAACCATGAAATCACATTGTCAAGAAACTAACCCCAAATGGGATAAAAAGTGCTACTCAAATATGAAAAATGGATTACATAAAATGTCAACTTTATACTATAAAATTGAGGCGCAAATAAAAAAGCCGTTGTTCCGATGCTGAAAAACGCTTCAGTTGATCATCTCGATTTTGAGATAAATGGATACGAAAAGAAAAAGAGGATTTCAAGATCTTAAAAATAGTGAATATCATAATTTAATATCTGAACAATTCATTTTAGAGTTTTCAAGTGTAGATCTGCACAAAATTTCATAGTTAGGGATCAAAATAGATTTTCAAAGATCACAAGAGTTTCCAACATTGTAACAACATTTTTCGACAAGGTGCATCTACTTTGATTGTTTATAGTGGGCACATCATATAAACGACACCCAAAAAATATTGGCCCTTATTTGCTCCATGTTTTTGATGGGGACCAATAAATAATGACATATAATTCAATTAGGATTATTTAAATTAATTGATTATTTTTTAGTAAGTTAAAATAATTGATTAATTGCTATTACAGTTTTTTGGCGCCCAATATAAGTATTAGTTTTGATAGTACCGTGTACTTCATCCCAATGCACATCTAACATGCTCCTTAGCAACTTTTTAAATCGCACATATTTCGTTCCTATTTTCTTCCCTTTCTTTTTTAACACAAGGTGGTGAATATCAGAGGCACATCGAATTCATGAGCTCTGGTAATCAAATATAATGTAATTTTCTCAAGTAATTAATGATTTTATACCTTTATGCTCTCTTAGTCATTTTGATTTATGAAATGTCTAATGCAGTGCTCTAATATATTCCTAACAAGGAACAATGACATCCAGCTCGGTAAGAAATTAACCTTTGGCATAAACCACTGTGATCCCCTCTGCTCATATTTAGTTGGCAAATCATCTCCAAAACCACTGATCTGGTTATGGACCACAAACACACACACACACTCATTTACACAAACACACAGAAACCTAACACGCGCAACAATGCAGGTGATTTTGGACTCGCAAAATTGCTTGATGCCAATGATCTCACGTCAACGGTATGTAAAATCAAACTACAAGAAAGTAAAACACAGAAAAATGATAAGTGATCATGTCAATCTTATTCGGCTGCATCGAGAGTGCTAAACTGGCTATTCTTTGGTGAATTTCAGTAAAAATTTGGTTTGAATGCGTGTCCTAAATAGAACTGATGAATTAACCCCTTTTATTTATAAATTTTCATAATGGACCTTTCCCTTTACTGAATAATTCAAAATTCAGTCAAGCCCTACAAAGATATGCTAAATATCCATTATTTTTCTTTATTTAATTTTCCCCTATCCAAAGTCTGGCAAAAGTTGTCCTGCAATCTGAACTTTCACTTCAGGGCCACGCTGAAACTTTTCCAAGTTTTCATTATAGAAAACTTAAATTGGCCAAGAGTACTGATCCTTGTATCTTGTTTAGGTGGTAGGCACTCCCAACTACATGTGCCCGGAACTCCTTGCTGATATTCCTTATGGCTTTAAATCAGATATTTGGTCAATAGGTAAATAGAATTCTGATTCATGCATCTCTCTATGCATGTATAGAGTGCAATTCAAGGGACCTTAATAGACTTTATTTCTCACTCTTCATTGTTTCCAGGTTGCTGTATATTCGAAATGGCAGCACATCGACCAGCATTCAAAGCCAGTGTAAGTTTATAGGTTAAGGCTTAACCTACTGTCATTCAGAGTACTCCCTCAGAATGATATTTCAATGCTAAATAAACTATTAATTATATAATAAGCACACGAGCCAAAAATGCAGATGGTCTAATGCTTTATGATGGCAAGCAGGATATGGCAGGACTTGTGAACAAGATAAATAGATCATCGCTTTCCCCACTTCCTACCATGTACTCCTCTTCTCTGTAAGTTTATTGGCCCTTTGTCATAGAGTTTCAAATAACTGATAACTTATGAAAATAAACCTCTCTACCCATGTGGCCATGTGGATGCGTCGTATTGTTGTTACATCTACTAGTACGTGATTGATTATCACTATTCCAATGAAAGCCCATGCTTGACTAAGTTAATTTGAACCCTCACATAAAACCTCATTTCCATATCTAACTCAAACATACTAGTATGGTTCTCAAAATACATTTTCACACGACCAAAGGAGATTTCTCTTGCTTGTTCCTTGTTCAGTAATTTCTGTCCCAACAGGTTCACCAAGAAATATAAGACAATTACTGAGACTACTCATTGCTAAATAATCTAGAATAATCTAGCATGAATTTGATCTGAAAATGTTCAATTGCAGGAAGTGTATCATCAAAACTATGCTGAGAAAGAGTCCAGAACACAGGCCAACAGTAAGCCCAAAAAGTCACAGATCATTTTCCTCTCTCTTTCTCTCTCTCTCTCATGTATATTGATGGTGTTACGATCATAGGCTGCAGAGCTGTTGAGGAACCCCCATTTGCAACCATACCTTGCTCAGTGCTGTACCCCATTTCCTCCCCTTAGTCTTCCTACTAAGGACATAAGAAAACCACCACCCGAAACTTCTACATCCACAATTCATTCTTCCCTTAGTCACTCAAGTAACAGTGAAAGAAACAGCACAAGCTCAACTCCTAAAGATACACCCAATAGAGCAGCAACATGCCGCCACTCAATTGACAAGCATGGTAAGTAAGGCTATAACATGATTTTATGAGGGAAAAATATACTAATAATTCTATGGACTATGCAAAATCATTGTCCATAATTGTCACCACCCTCCAATGAATATGATGGGTGGTGGAGGGAAAGTGGGGCCTGCAATGGGCATGGTCACTTACTCTGGTCGCACGCCCACTCCACACCATCCGTCCTTTTTCATATACTGATAATGACTATTATTGAAGTATTAGTTAGTTTACCACTACTTCTAAGTAGGTACAAAATTTACTGAGTAATTAAGTAAATAAATATTTAAATTGTAGTTATATTTCAGCTGTCCTCCCCAAATTCATGAATTTTTTTTTTTGGGGGAAAGCGATGGTCCCAATGACCTATGGTTTCATACTTGTTTACGATAAAAATCTGACAGATCTTCCGATGAATATCTCTCAAATTTTAACACCTTAAACTAATTAAATGGGGTGTCTACAATACTGCTTTGGATTATAAAAACACTTTCGTTTTTCTAATATGAAATCAATCAAAGACATAAATATTAACCATAATGGCCTTATTACTTTCACAGAAGCCATGGCAATCTCAGAAGAGCGAAATTCTGATAATGGGTGCCAAATAAATGAGACAAAGACCAATGAACCAAGAACTAAATGGGGTAGCTTTGACATCTCTCAAGAAAGTGAAGAAGATGAGGTGGGGCCCACTGAACAATTGCCTGATGATGTGCCACCACGTGATAGGTCAATTGTAGACAAAACAGAGACCATCACAGTTAGCAACAATTGGTTAAGCTTGTACCCCTCTCAGGAAGAGGTAGGCAATGAGGCAGAACCCACCTGGTCCTCCCCTGATGATGCGTTGACATGTGATGCACCAGTCACACACCATAAGGATCGGTTGGAAGCTGAGAGAGCTACCATTGGCACTTGTGAGCAAGTGTTGGAAGCTGATGTGGACCCAAAAGGTATGCCCCGAGCTGTTCCTAGCAATGAAGTTCACACCAAGTGCATCAGCTTGGATTGCACTCGCGAAGGGGAAGACAATGATGTGGGTCCCACTAGTGGGCCAGCTGATGATGTATCACCAAAGAAAAGGTTGATCATAAACGATACAGATGAGAAGGAAAACAAAGGAGCAATTGACTATTATGACAAAGTGGTAGAAGCCGATGCGGACACAAAACTAGGGCCAGGTGTCGACCTTAACTATCCTCAACAAAAGATTGATGTGGATCCAAAAAGTGGGAACCAAACTGATCTCAAATCTTCTCGACAAAGGGCTGAGGCACTAGAAAGCCTTCTTGAGCTATGTGCAGAACTCCTTGAAAAAGACAGGTTGGAAGAGCTTGCTGGTGTACTTAAACCGTTTGGGAAAGTTGGGGTTTCTCCGAGAGAGACTGCAATTTGGTTGACGAAGACCCTGAGATCTGTTAGTTCAGATAACCAGGTTCGAAGACTTTTGAGTTAATAACAATTCAATTGGGAGGCGCTTGTTCTGTTGTGGCCAGAATCTAGCTTAGCCATCCAAGATATGAAAAAGAGCAAGATGGTAAAACCAAATTGTTGGTGGCCTTGTGATTCTGGTGCTGATTTTCTCATCCTCTGGTGCTCTTGAAGGATTAACTAAGTGGAAGACACCATTTCCTCACCTATTACTTGGAGCCAATACTTGGGTGTAAGAATTTGTGTTCTGAAAAGACAAGTTTATTTTTGCATTTCTGTATATAGAGAAAGTAACACCATATACATTACACAGGATGCATATGGTTTATTTTGCCTTGTATTTTCCAGGGATCTCCATACATTACTTTCCTGATCATATTACCCGAGAAAATAGAAAAAACTTGTGCACTGCAGGTTTAGAATCATGAACAGCAACCTTAGTGATGGAGAGTGTAACGAACATGCATAAATACTTTAGGCCCAAGGGAGATGATACAAATAAACAGAACAAATCATGCATTTTTCATACCTCTCTAATTGTGCTTGACAACTAATTATTCTCATGTTTCATGGAGATTCCTTGGCATTAGAATAGTCACAAAAAAAAGGTAAGGGGATTTCTTTATCCGACAGTTTTGATAGCAAAGGAGATTTAGCTGGAAGCAGAGTAGGGAAGATGTGAGACCACAATGAATTTTGGAATGGTGACTATGGTCAGGAGACACCCCTTAAAGGGGACATAAAAAAGAGCCACAGGTCAAAGAATTCTCCCAAAGAGTATAACAGAAGATCATGAATAATACCTCCATTTTTCCCACTTTTACTAGCTTAGTAATGTTCCCAAAGGTACCAAACTTCACCATGCTCTAATCTCATTACTCAAAATCCAATTACTGTAAATTGTAATTCCTTGATTAATGTTAGGACATGGAGAAAGTACCACAGCATACTGACAATTTGAATTTGCAGAAAACCATAGCTTGAAAAAAAAACCTAATCACATAAGTCTTACTCACGAACCCAAACAATATATTCCAATAAAACTAGTCTACAAAGATTTTTTTTCTTTTTTTTGGTTAACAAATAAGTAACTATCCAATAATAATCATCATATCGTCAAAGCCTTTTTCCAACGAATTGAGGTCAGAGACACCAATCTTGGTCCACCATTCTGCTCTATTAAGGGCTATACCCTCAGTGAGGCTATAAATCCCCATATCTTTTCTCACTACTTCCAATCATGTCCTTTGGGCCTACCTCTTGATCTTTTTGAGCCTTCCATTTTGAACTAACTCGCACTTCCTAACAAGCTGTATTGGGTCTGCGTCATACATGGCCAGCCTACTTAAATCTACTTTCTCTTATCTTATTGCCTATTGGTGAGTTAGCTTCAGAAGATTTGACCAGTTTCAAGAGAGCGAAACAATTGGAAAAAAAAAATCTTAATTGCCACATAAACGAGGAGGGTGCCCCCACCCTGGGGGGGTTATCAAGAGAGAAACAATATGGAAAAGAAAATCCTAACTGCCACATTAATGAGGAGGAATTCTTGAGAGAGAAACGATCTGGAGAAGAAAAATCCTAATTGGCACAGTAGCATTGAAGAAACCTCTCCCCTCTCTCTCTCTCTTTCTCCTTCCCTCTCACTCCTCTTTTTTCTTCAAGAAGAATAAGAGGAGGAGGAGGAGACTACAAGGTTCAAGAGAGAGAAACAACTGGAGAAGAAAAATTCTAACTACCATTTATGTTGAAGAAACCCTCTCTCTCTCTCTTCTCCCTCCCTTCCCCCCTCATCCTCTCTCTCGACTCTTTTTTCTTGAGGAAGAAGAAGAATGCAGGGTCCAAGAAAGAGAGTCTTCTGAAGAAAACCCTAAGTGGCATTAACGTTGATGAAACCCACTCCTCTCTCTCTCTCTCTTCTTTTTTCTCTCGCACAAATAAGAAGAGGGTGTTGCAAAAATCACAGGGATAAAGAGAGTGAAGCACTAGGAAAAACCATATCTGTCATTGATAATGTAGAAACACTCTAATCTCTTTCTCCTCTCTCTCATCTTTCTTTGTCTCTTGCTTTATGCCCTGAGAATAAAAATATAACATGCGTATATGATAAGAAAAAATATTCCATAATTGCCCCATTTTGTCAGTGAAATTTGTAATAATCTCTGGGGTTGAGTCACCCTTGATGTTGCTGCCTAGTCCCTTCATGCACCCATCGAGTAAGGAAGACTCCAAAGAAAATCATAGAAGAAAACAAAAAAGATTTTCTTGAAGTAATCGATTAAAAGAGGGTTGATAGAGTAGAAAGACGGGTCTCGATTCGTATAGCCGACCCCAAATAGTTGGGAAAAGGCTCTGATGATGATGGTGAATCAAGTACAAGAGGGTAGGAATAAAAATGAAAATGTCTTCCCTCTTCAGCAAGACCCTCATTTAGAGGGAAACTAGACATGAATCCCTAGTTCAAAACTTACCCACTAGAATATTCACTCTTTGGAGTGTTCTTTCTATGAGATAGCCCTTGAAGTCCTAGGATGCTTTAATATATTCTAGATTGCTCTAACCTATTGTGTTGTGTTCTTATATTCTACGCTACTTTGAAATAATTTATTGTATTCTAGAATCTGTTATGTTCTAAAAGATTCTATTACATTTTTGGAAGATTCTACCACAATTTTAGAATATTTTAATTTGTTTAAGAATGCTCAAGAAGTTTCTGAAATGTTCTGCAACATGTTGAAATGTCTTGGACGATCCATTGCATCAAGTGGTATCAAAGCAAGGATTGTGCTCCATCATTTATGAAGGGTCACAATGGCTGTATGAGGGGCTTATGGTGCTCAAACCGTGTGGTGCTAACACCTGACCAATTAAGTTACTTTCAAGAACTTAAGAAGCAAGTGTAAGAATTGATCCATATGCTTATGCATCAAGCAGGACATGGTTTGACTGGCCTGACATTGGAGGATCACAAATTTTGTCGGGAAGTCCCTTCGATTATGAGTGGGAAGTGAGAAATCACACTTTGAGAAATGACTTGTTTAAGGATGCAAAGAGGTGGATTGATGTAGAACATGCCGACTAGTATTATTTGTTTTTCTTTATTTAATTTTAGGGATCTATTTTTAGAATTTTTAAATTTCATTCTTAAGGCTAGTTTGGCAAAGAAATTAGATCATTATAGAATTATTTATTTGTAGAGAGATAAAAATGTCATTGTGTGTTTGATTTTATTTTTTAAGTTAGGTTTAGGTTTTTGTGGAGTCTAAGTCAAAGTTAATTTTTAAATAGGGGGTTTTGAGTCAGAATTTGATAATTATATTGTCTAGGGCATGGTTTCTTGAGAGAGCTTAGAAGCTTGCCTTGTAAGGTTCTATCATTGTTTTCAATAAAAATTTGTTTTTGTCTGTGAATTTCTTTCCTCATTATTTGTTATTAAAGCATGCCTATTCCTAAAGGCATGAGATATGCTTCTTTTTTTTTTAATGTTAAAAAGCACATGAGATATGTTGAATTGCTCGATGGTTGCTAGAGGTATCAAGACCCCAGCTCGGTGCGTGTGTGTTGGTTGAGGGTAGGGCTAGAAAACCTCCCTTGATGTGCCAAACCTAAATACTCCCGGATGTATTCATTTAAATTCTATCCCCTCTTGTCTTGTCACTCATCCATCTCAACATCTTCATCTCAACTACACTCATTCTATATGTATGTTGTTTCATGATCGCCCAACATTCCGTCCCATAAAGCAAAGCTGGTCTCACAAATCTCCTATAGAAATTGCCCTTCAGCTTCATTGGTATGTAGCGATCGATAAAACTCAAGTTGCACATCTCCACTTTACCCACCCAACTCTAACTCTATGTGTGACATCTTTCTTAATCTCTCCATTTTCTTGGATTATCGACCCAACATATTGAAAGTGCCATCTTTTTGGTATTTTTTGGCCGTCAATCGTAACTACTTCCTCGTCTCTACTCTTATCATTACTTAACTTGCATTCTATGTACTCTGTCTTAGTTCGGCTAAGCTTAAAACCTTTAGATTCTAGAGCATCCCTCCAAAGTTCTAACTTTGTGCTGACGTTGTTCCATGTCTCATCGATCAAAACTATGTCGTATGTCGTATACCTCATCTTATAAGTGCCTAATTAAGTCGTCTATAACTAAGACAAAAAGGTATGAGCTCAATGTTAACCCCTGATGTACACCTATTGTCACTGAAAACATACTCGTCTCTCCGCTAGTTATTTGTACACTAATTACAGCTCCCTCATATGCATCTCTCACCAAATCGATTAGTGTCTGAAGACTCATTTCTTTTTCAATACCCACCAAATCAAATGTCGAGGTACTCTATCATAAACTTTCGCTAGATCAATAAAGACCATGTGGATGTCTTTACCTTTTACCCTAAACTTCTCAATCAGTTGCCTAAATAGGAATATAGCCTCAATTGTTGACCTCCCTGGCATAAAACCGAATTGGTTTCCTGATATACTCGTTTTCTGCCTTAATCGTTGCTCAATCATTTTCTCCCACAACTTCATAGTGTGGCTTACATGTTTTATCCTTCGATAGTTCGCACAATTCTGAATGCCTCATTTGTTCTTATAAATAGGTATCACAACACTTTTCCTCCATTTACCTGGCATTTTCTATATTCTCAACACCTTGTTGAACAACTTGGTCAGCCAGTCAATGCCAATCTCCCCCATGCACTTCCAAACCTTTATCGGAAAACCATCTTTCCTAAAGCCTTTCTTATCTTCATCCTCTTCAAAGCTTCTTTCACTTCTGATATCCTAATCCTACAAATGTATCTATGACCTCCGCCCTGATTTCTGCCAGCGATTCCTTCTACAGCTATGTTCCCATTGTGTTCATCATTTAACATTTTTTTAAATAAACTCTCCACCTTTCATTGACCTCTTCATCCTTCACCGAGACCCTTTGACCATCACTCTTAATGCATTTACTCTAATCTAGATCCCTACACTTTTTCTCTCTCATTTTGCTATTTTGAAGACATCTTTTTCATCTTTACGTGTTCTCAGTTTATTGTATAGATTATCATATGCCTTAAGTTTAGCATGACTCTCCACCTTTCATTGACCTCTTCATTCTTCACCGAGACCCTCTGACCATCACTCTTAATGCATTTAATCTAATCTAGATCCCTACACTTTTTCTCTCTCATTTTGCTATTTTGAAGACATCTTTTTCATCTTTGCTTGTTCTCAATTTATTGTATAGATTATCATATGCATTAAGTTTAGCATGACTTACTGTTTGTTTAGCGTAGTGTTTCAAAAAGCGCTAGGCGGCCTAGGGGGCCCAAGCCACCCAACACCTAGGTGGCCCAGTTGAAACAAAAAAAACTCTATAGTCTTTAATAGTATATATATTGCATAAAATATAAGAATTAAGTATTTAGGGCACATCAAAATTCAAAAGTATACTACACATTAGCACACACTCCATAAGCATAACCATAAGTAGGTCCAGATCCAATTAAAACTTAAAATTTAGCAACCAAATTACCAAACCAAAGTTACTAAATACCAAACCAGTGGAGCTACAAATCCACTATCCATAATACTCAACCAAGATGAAGAAAACAAAAATGAAAGTAATACTTAAAGACTCTAAAGAATCTTCAATCAATATTCAAAGTTTAATCATCATTCATCATTCATCATAAAAAAAAGTAGGGCCAACTGCATTTGCATCAGAGTCGTCACCCTCCTCGACATATTGGTCGTCCTCCTCTGTCTCTTCTATATCTGCCTCTTCTTCCTTCTCTTCCTCTACCCTTGTCCTCTGTGTAGAAGATCTAGGGGCCCTAGGAGGGTCGGCTTATGTCCCTGAAGCATCTATGACCATGTCCCATGTCAATCCTTCATGTCCCTTGACCTCATCATCATCAACCAACCACTCCAAAGTATTGTCCGTATTTTTTGATCTGAGGGGGTCTCTCTTATCTCTCTTAGCAAACTTGTCCTTCAAGAATCGATTATGCTTAACATAGACTAGGTCATTGTCATTGAGCCTCTTTGATTCAAACATGTTATTTTTCTTTGTATGAATCTAACAAAATCAAATGAAACTAATTAATATAAATATTAAATAATTAAAATTATTAAATATATAATAGTAATACTATAAAACAATCAAAACTAATAACTAATTAACTACTAAATTACTAATACAATTATATAAATTACCCTCACCCCTTCAAAAGTACTCCAATCGCGCTCACAACCGGATAAGGAAGTAGTTAGGTTTAAGATCCGAATAGCCAACTTTTGTAAATTTGGAGAACTACACCCATGTTGGCTCCACCAATTGGTTGCAAAGATATATAATAAAATCATAAATAAATAATAGAATTATAAAAATGAAACTTGACTTGAACTTAAGAATATTATTACTTCCTGGATCAATTTTGGTCATTTGCCTCATCGCCATTGGACTCCCAAAAGACTATCAATGAGCACGTGTAATTTATCAGCTCATCAGCACATATAATATCCTGGATATCCAGATCAAGGAGTAGCACATCTACATACTTATTAAATCCAGTCATAATTGTGTCATTTGTGTGTGTATCCTTGTCATCATAAAAAAATTGGGTTCAAATAATAACCAGCTGCATGCAATGACCGATGTAGGTGCCTATCCCACTTTTCATCAATAATCTCCCAAACAGGTTTATAGCGGTTCTCATCATCATCAAAATTTTAGGCTATCTCTCTCTTGCATTTCTCCATAGCCTCATATATGTAGCACATAGAAGCCTTAGTCACTATCAACCATTCGAAGGACTTTGACAAGTGGAAAAAATACCTTAAGTGCACCCTTCACCCCTCGCCAAAAAGCCTTAGAAAGAATAATATCTCTCACCTTCTTTCCAACCTAATCCTTGGACCACTTGCATGCTCTCCAGTCATATGAGGTAAACATCTGCCTCAACTGCACTCTCCTCGGATGTATGTTATTGAGGCATAAGTACCAGATCGCAAATCTCGTGACCCCAGGCCTCACAATCTCTTTCTTCTATGTAAATATACACATCATGCTGAGGGTGAGAGGGTGGCTATAAATGAAATTCATAACAAACTTTGCCTTCTTCACTACACCTGATATCTCAGTTAAATCGCCAAGAGCCTCAAGCATGAGGTCTATACAATGTGTTGCACATGGTGTCCAAAAGATTTCAAGATAAGCTATGCGCAACAAATTAGTAGTAGCAACATTAGGAGTAGTATTGTCTTTGACAACCTGTACAACAAGATGCTCCCCAACCTCCTTGATTCCCTTCTCTATAACTGGGTATATGTAATGGGCATTTGAATAGGGTAAAATCATAGATATAATCAGATGTATCAATAGACCTCAAAAAACAGTCCCTAAAGGACAATTCACAAGCAAATTCATAATTGAAACTCCATACAGAGCTCATGCATCTTTCTTAACTTCTACAGCATCTTTCGTGACACTCACCGCTTTTTTCAAAAGAGGCTCTAAAAGCTCATATGGGGTTGGGGGGTTTCATCCCAGGCCCAAATTGGCTAATTGCCTCTACCAAGGCAAAGAAGCTGCTTAGGCGAGCGGTATTGAAAGGAATGCTCGCCTCATAAAACCATATAGCAATAAAAAAAACAGCTCTATCTCTCTCTTCCTTCTTCATTCTATTTTCAATAGTGGTTTGCTTCTTTATTTTCTCTCCTGAAACCTCAAGGTGGGCAAAAAACTATCCATAAGGACTCTAATCTGAGGCTTCTTACTCCCAGAACCAGAAGCAATTACAACTCCCTTTCTATTTCCCCTAATAATGGATTGTTCTACCTCTTGACATCCCTCCCCATCCTCGTCACTATCATCATCATGATAATTGACCCGAACCCCAGACCTAATCTCTGCTATGGAGGCAAGTTTCTCATCTTTTCCATTTTTGCTACACTCAAAAAATTGGTAATTTTATCTTTAACAGCATCAGGAGTCTTTTTACATGGGGCAACATCCCCTTGGATACCGGCAAGATGTTTGTTGAACCGGTTTATACCCCTTTTTGTATCATTCTCACAAAACTTGCATCTTATGCAATTTTTGTCATTAGGATCTAGAATGTCGCCATATTTCCAACCGAGATCACCACTTCTGTTAGATTCCGAAGAAGACATATCAAAATAATACAATTTATACAAGCAATAAAAAAAATCACTTACTTTGATTGCTCAATCTCCAAACTTCCAACTCAAAGATGTTTCTAAAGACTCAAAATATTCTAATCTCTCCAATAGATTTATGAAACATCACAAATTAAATCTAATATCAATTGGTGATGTTTGATCAATTTCTCATAACTTTGAGAAACCCTTCGATCCTAAAGAAATTACCAAAAACTAGTTTTTTGGGTGTTTCTTTCTCTAAAATGGGCTCTAATGAGTTTTAGATTTCAAATGAACCTAAAACCCACTTTCTTGGCCCCTTAGTATAAAAACAAAAAGACACAAAATGCCCCTACCGAGTGGCTTTTCCGCCTCTGGGCAGGGCGCAGTCCCAAGTCTGGGCATTGGGTCGCCGCCTAAGCGGTTTCTTGGGCGCCCAGGGTTTTCCGCCTTGTCTTCGCGCCTAGGCCTCGACGATCGCCCAGGCACTGGGCGGTCCACTTTTTGAAACACCAGTTTAGCGTTTTCCTTGGCATTTTATATTATTCTAAGTTTTGATCATTTCTATTATATTGCCAAGTTTTATAATATGATCGAAGTAACTGTCCAATAAACAAAGTTATAATATCAAATTCCACTGGAACTCATAGACTGGCCAAAATCCAGTTTTCTTGAACTCCCCTGAGTCTCTTTTTATTAATTAGTAATAATGTCCCCTTTGGTCTAAGTCCAAGATTTCCCGTAGTCAAAGACAAAACTACATAATATATCAATAGATTCTAATTGAACAATGCAACATGTATAAACCAAATTTTTCGATCATACAATTAGAAACAACATATAGTGGTATCAAATAGCTTTTCATTCAAAAGAAGTATTATGAACTTATAAAGAAATCTGCAATTAGATCTCATGAATGCTGTAATACAAACCACTTCGAGTGTAAAAGCAAAAAAGTAAACAAAGTTTTTTCATGAATAATTAAAATAGACTCTAGGGATAGTGGCAGAATTCGAGCCTAGAAAACTTTACCTGCACAATTCAATGAGTTCCACCATTCAAGACCAGCGTTTATTGTGACACATGATAAGAGGGTGATAATGCAGTAAGGTTCATATGGAAACATAATTTGCATATAAGTATGTCTTTCCACTCTTCTCCCACATGGAGGCATAGAAAAGGAACACAAAGTTACAATCAAAAGGCAAGGCATCTTCCATTTCTGAAAAATTCAACTCTTCAAAATAAAAATGCAGCATACAAGCCTCATTTTTGGTCCAAAATTTCCATTTACAATGCTTCACAACAACATATTAAGAGGCACATCAGAACTCGGCATTTTCTCAAACCCAGTTATTTCAGTAAAGAATCAAGTGCTATCTCCTTTCCGGTATTGAGCTCCTTCATTCTCACCCTCAGAAAATCAAGAGGGAAATTATAAAAACCCAAATTATTTCATAATCAAAACTCTCATAAAACCTACATTTCCAAAATCCAAAACCCAGCCTAATCAGGAATCTAGCAATATATCCTACTGGTAATTGAGTCCCTCTTTTCCCTACAAGAGAAAAACCAATAAAAATGACCTAAATCTCTAATAAAAACCACAACTTTTGTCCTAACTAAAACCCTTGTAAAACTCCTATCCCAAAATCTAAAACCCAACCTGCTCAGTACCAAAAGCCATAAGTTTTCATAACAAAAAACCACTGCAAAACCCACATCTCTAAAATCTAAACCCCAACCCAAAAATCATGCAAAATCCTATTATACCAATCTCTTGCCTCTCCCACTCTCCAAAGGAAAAAAAGACAAGAAAAAAGAAAAAAAAGAAAAGAAAAGAAAACAGAGACCAAAACAAAGAAACCTAATTCCGGTGCAATTTCAGTGTAGGAACACGCTTTCAATTCTACGGTCATAAGAACATGATTGACCATTAATGTGACCAAGCAGTGACCAGTAATGCAATTGAGACACCAGCAACACAAAGAATTGCAGTGGCATGGGTCCTCCTAAACAAAAGATCCAAGCTTTTGGCAACCTGAAGGGCTAGGGTGAGGATTTGTAACCGACCTTGTTCCTCCATCTTGTTAAAGAAAACCACGGGCTTTAGGGTTCTTCTTAGTAAAAAAGCAAACGAGAAAGGGAAAGCAAAAGCTGCTATGCTCTGGATTGAGACCTCTGTAACAGGAGAAGCCTTGGTGATCCATGCTATCCAAGCCCCACAAGTTAATTGCATAAGACCTAGAAGAGCCATGGCCCTACTGAGATCATACATACTCTTTCTCATTCTCCCTAAAACTTCTCTGGTTTCATTTGCAAGAGCAGAGAGGTCCCGCTGGACAGTTGGGCCCTCGATTTCCTGGTGTTTTAAAGTTTCAGCGGAATAAGACTTTTCAAATTGAGGTTTCTCAGTTGAGTCGCTCTGTGAATCGTTAGGATTAGAACAAGGAGATGAAAGGTTGCCGACCTGATTAGGATTAGGGGAAGAATTAGCAGAATGGGAGTAAGATCTAGTGGAGCTGGTATAGAGAACACGGTTTTCAGGCAATTCCAGAAATCGGGTCAGTGAAATGGAATAGGTTGCTGAAACCAAAGAAGCTCCATTACTGGAACCAGAATAGAAATTAGGGTTTGAGCTCCTTTTCAGTGATAGGACAAGAGAATGGGGATCAGTTGAAGAACCCAGAGAACTTCCATTCTGGTTAGGGCTAATAACTGAAGGAATAGAACAGGATTTGACGAAGCTAGAAAGAGAACAACGGTTTGAAATTTTCTCTGGTGAAGAGAGAGAAGCGCATATGTTTGTGAAAAACTCAGGGCTAGGGTTCAAGGGTTTTACAGATGGTGATGAGACAGAAAAGCCTTTAGAGTGAGAAAAAGAAGAGGTTGAGATGCAATTAGGGTTAAAAGAGAAAGAGGATGGGTGGAGACGAGAGGCCACCCTTTGGCGCAGAAAGGAAGCCATGACTGTAACACTAGAGCTCTGAAGGTTTCCCCTCTACACGAAATACGATGAAAATGGCGGAAACGCCCACGGATTTTGAAATTTGCAAGATAGGCTCAGCCGCCCCATCTGGTAATTCGACACTGTGGGCAGGGGCAGCTGCTTTCGAAAAGATTTCATGGGAGTAAAGTAGCGCAAAAAAAATCGCCCAGTCAATATAATTTCTTTTTTAGATGAAGGGTCAATATAAATTCTTAAATTTCTGGAAATTTGCAAGACGGATTCACCGATCTTGGATGAAAATTTTATGTTATGTTTCGCTGGTAGTTCATGAAAAGCTTCAATTGATCTCGATGGGGAGTGATTTTTCGAATTTCAATGGGTGTTTCAAGCATGAATTGATCTCGATGGGGATTGATTCTTCGAATTTCAATGGGTGTTTCAAGATCTTCGAGGGCTTACCTTTCATCAAAACCTAGTAATGTGAATTTTTGTTTTGTATTTTTATTTGACAGTTTTTTTGTTGTAAAATTTGCTATTTGTATCATTTCTCCTACTATTTTGCATCAAACTTCTTCAAATTCATTTCTAAGCAATCGTAGACAACCTATCTACGATCAATGTGATTTCTAATTTCCTACTATTCTAATTTCACATAAAAAATTACCCCACAGATTGAGTCCAAAATTATGCTCAGTTTTAGAGCTTTTGGAGTTTCTAAAAAAAAAAACTTTTTCACGAGTAATTAAATAACGGATTATCAGATAAATTTGTTAAATAAATAAAATTTAGATTTTTTAAATTTTATTTAATTTTTTAAAATTTATTTTTAGCTGTTTACTATTTATTTTAAAATTTATTTTTAGTTATTTATCATTTTTAAAATTTATTTTTATCATAGCAATTCGTTTGACCATTGATTTGTCGTTTACTACAATGTCGATTTATGTTAGATAAATATTTATAGTTAATTCCTTAAGTTTTAAGTTTATCTATTGTTATTTGATTTTCATGTGGGGCTTAAATGATATATACTTTTGAAATTAGAAACTGAACTAGCTCATGAAATCTATTTCTAAGTCTTTCGGCAGAAATTTTTGAAGTAAATTCTATATTTTGTGATTTAAATATGTAAAAATTGTTTAATCTTGAGTTCTTGATTATCATTAACCATTCTAATATTATTTTAGTGGGATTGTATACAATGAGATCATTTACATTTGATACAAGGTGGTCACAATTACTTACAACCTTCTTATGTGAAATTTGATAACTTGGATATGTTACAAAGTTCGAGAATTTTTTTTTTGAAGTTTGAGCTTGGTCAATAGAATTTCACATCCAATGGTCAAGATTAATGTGACCACCTTGTACCAAAGGTAAATGGCCCAATTCTATACTTTCTTTTTAATTATCCATGCATTTGGTTGCATGTTTTGTTTCATTATAGCAGATATTAGATTTTTGTTGATTGTAATACCATGGTACTCAATGCATTTTGAAGATTGTAAATGCCACAAATTATAGTTTTTGTGAATTTTTATCTCCAATGAACCAATAATTCAAAGTTCTTGGATTCTTTTGATATGTAAACTCAATGCTTATGTTATTCTAAGCTCAATGTTGTGAAATACATTTTTTTTCTTGATTCTAGGTTTGGTTGATGCAAACCCTTTTTAGCTATAATGTTGCTTAAATAAATAAGTTTTACTAGTAGGAACTAACTCATGCTTATCCGATCTATTTTCCAATAAGAAGCATTTTGCATAAACAACAAAGATAATTTCATGAACTACCTCCTAAACATTCTCAAGATACATAGTTATGAAATTTCATGTTGAATTGCCAGATTCATTTTTTACTATTTGTATCTTAAAATAATTGAACCATCTCACAATCTAAAGAAGTCCATGCATGGCTACATGAGGTCATATATGATCTCAACAAAAAAATAAAATTGTTTGTAATTACTGCCAAAATGTGATAAGAAATAAGGTATATATGTTCAAGCATTATTTGACAGGGATTATGGGAGAGGTCATTGTGTACTCTAATGTCTCTAGCAATGTAAGAAAGCATGTTACAATAATTCTCAAGGGTAAAAAAGTCACCAAGCAAATGATAGATGAGGAGATAGCCGACTTATATACACTGAATATTGAGATGTTCTTTTCCTATATGAACCATTGTTAACTATTAAATTTGTGTTATAGAAAAAGAATAGAAAATCATAATGGATGAAATATATAATCATACATGGACTACAATAAAACATACAATTCGAAAAATACGATCTAAAACTAAAATGAAAGACGTTATTATTCTTCATCTTAGTCACATTGCCTCTACTCATTGAATTGGGGAGACAACTCATTGATTTGATCTAGGAACAAATCATCCATATTAATGGTTGGCTGACTACATCCAAATCCCTGAATGTTAATGATGTATTGCTCTCTTAGTCCAAAATCCCCGAAGCTTGTCCATCCCTCATGATCACCTTCATTGTTATGCTCGCCTCCACCCTCTTGTTGTTGGGATACAGTCTGTGAAAAACTTTGGGATATAGTGGCCTTATAATCATCATCTCTCTCATTTTCCCTCATACCCCTTTCCCACTCTCTTTTAATAGGTGCAACACCATCGACATCTCCAACAAATTTGAATATGTCGATAAATTGCTTCCTCTTTCTTGCTTCTCACCACCTACTTATTCATCAACTTTATTGATAGCCTAAAGGAATGATCTCTTGCGCAATATTGGCTCCTTTTCCTCAACGACTCATTGTTTTATTGTAATTATGCAAATATTATATGTAAGTCTATCAGGTCATTTTCTTCAAGTTTCCTTCTTATTTATTGATCTCGAAAGTATAAGTTTTAGTGAACGTAGACAAGCTTTATAAAACCTCTACTGATTCCTCCTAGTTGAGCACAAGAGGAGAGAAAGAGAGAGGAGAGACAATGTTGAAAATTGAGTACAGGGAGAAGAGAGAAGAGAAAAGAAATTAAGTGCAAGAGAGAAAGGAGAGGCACAAGAGGAGATAGACAAAAGAGATGGAGCACAAACGCCAAGAGCAAATGATGGTTAATGATTGAGACGGAGTGCAAAGAGATGAGAGATAAGAGAGTTCGTCATTATCAGAATTTTTTTCCAAGTATTTGAGATTGACCACACGGATCCTTGTCTGCCATTCTACTTTATCAAGGGTCATACCTTTAGTGAAGTCATAAATCTCCATATCTTTTTTCACTACTTCTATATAGAAAATAGAGAGAGAGACAGTAGAAAAAGCGAGACAAATTTGGAAGGTGCATGGGAAGCAAAAGAAGAGAGCGACAAGAAGATTGAGTGCAACAGAGACAAAAAAAAATACGATCCAAACAAGATACAAGAAAAGAGAGAGAGGATGGAAAATTTTGCCCCTCTCAATTTCTCTTTCTTATTACCTTGGCCTTGGGGAAAATAAATGGTGCCTACATATAAGGCTTATTATGTGGGGTGGCAACGGATCAAGTCGGGTCCGAGTCCAAGACCAGACCCAAAATTATCATACCCAGAGCTATTGGACCCGACCCAAAAATAAAAAAATAAAAAATAAAAAATATTAAAATATTATGTTAATTATATATGTGTATTATTTAAATATTATAATTAAAATATATAATTATATTTAATTAAATATTATTTAAATAGTAATACCTCAAAAATGTAGAATTACATATGCACCTCAAAAATCCATCGAAAAATATTGTTTTAATGTTGAAAGCCCCCCTAATTAATCATCTCAATATTGATATGTTCAAAAAAAATTAAAAAGATTTTGAGTCTAAAACATAGTATATCTTGCAACACATTATCTAGACCGTCCATTTTCAAGATTTTCATATATTTATAGATCTACTTTATTTTAACCATTTTTGGAGTTTAAAATTTTATAATTAGATATGAAAGTATATTTTTAGATAATTCTAAAAATGTTTTACACCAAAATTACACATTATGATAAAATTTGGAGGTGCGCCTTAATTGGGTTGTTTAAAGTTGCAACCTTCTAGAAACTACACCCTTATTTAAATATTATAATTAAAAATATATAATTATATTTAATTAAATATTATTTAAATAATAACACCATTCGGGTCGAGTACCGAATGGGTCCACATATACCTGAACCCGGACCCAATATGCTGGGTCCAATTTTTGGACCCATTCCCGGACTAACTCAGGTTCGGTTGTTGGGTCCCGGTCCATTGCCACCCCTGGAAACAAAAGAAACCCTCATATCGTATCATTACAATTTCTAATGTTTCTTTTTTTGTCATCTTAATGGTAGGAATATAGGATTAGAACCCATGAAGTAGTGTTGCAATTTTGAACCCCATAAAAGTTGAGGCTATAACTAAATCCCATAAAAAATTTTATGGAACGTTTATGCTTATTTGCATTCAGAATTTTTCGTGTATGGACGGTATAGATTTAATAGATCTTTTAAGATAGTGTCAAAAACATTTTAAAAAGAACAGACAATCACTAAAGTATTTTATAAAAGGTTGTATATTACATTAATATTTGAAGGGTGTGGTTTGCATAAGGTAGCCACCTTAAACAATCAAATTAAAGCCTCTAAATTTTATCATAGGATATAACTTTAGTGCCACAAATTCTTAGTATGACTTTAGAATTTATTTTTATTTCTAGTTATAAAATTTTAAACTCCAGAAATGGTTCAAATCAAGTAGATCTATAAATAAATGAAAATTTTAAAAATGGATAGTCCAGATAATGTGTTGCAAGATGTACTATTTTTTAGACTCAAAGTCTTGTTTTTTTTTACCCCTATCCATACATTTTGATGTCGAGATGGTCAATTAGAGAGTTTTCCGACATCAAAATGATATTTTTCAATAGATTTTTGAGATACATTTTAATTCTACATTTTAAGATTGCAACCTTAGATAAACTTTTCCATATTTGAAATCATGCGTGCTATAATTATTTTGCTAAAACGATACCTTGGCACACGCGCAAATATTTCCTTAAAATTCAGATTGTTCTCCTAACTTATATAATCGACTGTTCGAAGTAAAGGAGAGAGATACCTCTATTTATTGAAGCAAATATTGAGAGAGAGACACCTCTATTTATTGAATCAAATATACAAAAAATGAATCATCCACCCCCAAGACACATCAAAATTTGTTATTACATCAGCCAGCAAATCCAGATGAAGCTGCCAAATGAGTCTTCATGCCTCTTATCGATTGAAGAGGGCAAAGAAGGAGAGGAGAGAAGTGGC